GCTACCTTGTTGGCATCCCAGTGTGTCGGGGTTGCCGTGAAAGTTGGCGGCGTACTAGGAACAATCTCCCTGGTAGACCGGAAGCCCTCCTGATGAAATTCTGCTGGAAAACGCGGTTGTCTTGTCATGGCCAATGGAGGCTGATAAGGGTGACTTATTCTAGGAGCACTCTGGGGGGCCATCATGGGCCGGTATGTGAGAGAAGAAGGCCCACACATCATTGGGTATAGTGAAGGCATTCCGCATTGGCCTGGCGGTGGCGCTGATGATGCTTGGGCAGGGGGAGGTGGCGGAAGAGGCGCGTTGGCGCCTCCATGCTGGCCTCCAGCCAGCAGGGCCCGCGAATCCGCCTGGGAAGCTATCCGCCGCCATTGGTCCATATTCATGCCAGGGTGGTTCATGGCTTCAGTTTGGACCAATTGAGCCCTGAATGCAGGTGATTATCATTCGCAAGTTTGCCAAGAAAAGCAAGTTTGCCAAGAAAAGCAAGCGTGCCGCAGGTGGAATTCCAGGTGGAATTCCAGGTAAACGAGACTTTTTGGTACTTCGCAGCTTGCGTCATGGTAAAAGAAAACATGCTTAGTGAGGGTGAGACACAAAAACTCCGCGGAGACGTGCGTACTTAGAGTGGAAGACCCATTTGCTGTCTCTTCGGCAGCAAAAGGTCTTGGCGACTGCAAGTTGGTCATCCCAAGTGGATCCGGCTTCAAGCTTGGTATGTCCACGAACAGTTTGGAAATCACCCACCAAAAGGCAACCTTGATGGCCTTTTCCAATGAGAGAACATTTCTTGGCCACCTCTGTGACAGCAGTCACATCCCATGACTTGACGACAGCCACTGCATAGAAGCCATAGCTGGGAAAATCCCCAGGCAGCCATGTCTGCGGGCGCAGCAGTTTCTCTTGAAGCGCAAGGACGCCCGCCTTGACCGTGGTGCCATGGCACCAGGTAATGGTGGTGGTAGTAGGCCCCGAATTTTCTTCTAGGCCATCTGTCCAACCAGCCACCTTCTTTTCTGGCTCTGGCCAAATCACGCCGACAAAGGCCCGTGTCTCATCTTCTTGCGCATGATGCACTATCAGCCCGGGAGTGGGTCGAAGTTCCGGATCAAAAGCCAGAATGCACCGGGCTAAGTCAAAAGCATGTTGCTCGATGAGTTCCTTATCTTTGGCTTGAAGCGCCTTGGCCCATTCATCTTGCGCTTCCTGGTCAACTGCCAGAGCCGCCTGTGGTTCAGAAAGCTCCCTGGGGATGAGGACCCGGTTTGGGTCTGACATTGCTCGCTGAATCACTGGCTGCCATTCTGGGTACTTTGCTTGGCTTGCTGCAGCTGTGTCCTGTTCTTTGGCGCCTTTGTTCCCAGTTGTTCTGGGGCCCGGCAAGCCCGATCCAATTGGAGGTTTTGGCTGCTGCTTTGCCAATTGCACCTTGGGCTTGTTTAGCGGCTTCCGTTGATCACGCCACTGCGATTGTTGATTCCATTTTCCTTGCTGCCAGTCTTGGCGGTGGGACTGCCAGCTGGGGTTGGAAGCCAGCCAAGACCGCTGATGAGGCCATCGTGTCTGTTGATCTGGCCAATGTGACCAGTTCTGCTGGCGCCTGACTTGTTGGCTGCCACCCTGCCCAATGACAGGCTGATCCTGCGCTTTGCCAAGCCTTCGGTCATGATTGAGCCTGCCGCTGGCGGCTTGTGTCTTTTCAGGAGGGGTTCTGGAGCGGCTCCGCCCCCGTCTGGTCTGGTTGCGTCGACCCCGTCTCGGACTAGAGTGGTTGCGTCGACCTCGTCTCGGGCTAGAGTGGCGGCGCCGCGTGGCATGCCGTTTCGGGCTGCTACTGCGACGCCTAGCTCTGCCCTTGGAAGTACGGCGCCTTTTTCTGTGGTGAGATTGGGACAAGCTTTTTTCCCGCCTGCGGCGGTCTGATGGTTGGGAGCCTGGCTGCTGTTCCGTGGCCACTGGCGTCTGGCTTGCCGCAGGCTGCGTCAGCACGGATCCAGAGGCTGCCGAGGTCTGCGAGGTCGGGGCGCAGCTGTACATAGAGCCGGAAACAGGCATGGGAAATGGATTGCATCCCATCGGAGCTGCCATCGCAGTGATAGCAGGCTGCACCGGTTGCATCTGGGCAAGCGGCACATTTGATGAAACCGGGAGCGAGTGAGACATAGAATGGTGCGACAACGGGACTCCAAACTGTGTTGAATCCCACAGGGGTTGGTTTGCTGGCCCTTGCTGCCACGCGTAGCCTGGGATTTGCAGCGATCCTCCTGAGGTCATTGCGGTTCCGCTCATCGACTGGTACCCCATTGGCTGGTAATGCGGGTACATGGCTCAAACAAAACAAAAGCTATACACAGCATTTGACATTGAAATAACTGCGCTTCGAGTGGGCTTCTGCCGTAGCATGCTCTCCAACTGCGCAATTCCAAGCACCAATCTGGATTTTCACGCCAGAAAAAAAAAGGCCCGAGCGCTCTTTTTGAGCGCCTTTGGAACACAGCAATCCGATCAAGAAGCAAGACAACCTGAGAGACCGTACAGGAAGTTATGATCATGCGCTAATGCTTCATGCGCTTGCACATCAGTGAACCGGCAATGAACTGCATTGAACGGCTATCTGGCCAAGCCAGCTCGGATCAAGAAAAAGAGAATGTTCACGCGCAGCAAGTG